GGCCCACGAAAGCTCATCATCTAATAAACCATCTTGTTAGTCTTTAAAGTGCTACATTGTCCTGCATTTTGCTTCAGTCTTGTCCCTATATCTTAATATTCAGTAAAGGCATGGACAAGTTTGAAATGAAGTTATGACAGTTGTATTATTTTATTTTTGCATCAATATTCAGCTCTCTCCCCCATCTAAGAAGAAATATACTGTAGAAAGTAGGTGGTATTTATATTGTCAAATTCCATTACAATGAGATGACTAAGATTGTAAGGGTTTACATGAGCAGAATTTGAGCCATAGGTTTAGCTCTGTGCTTTTTTTCCTCCTTCCTAAATATAAATTGCCTTCGTATGCCTAGCCTGGGGGTCGGCAACGTACAGCACACATGCCATAAGTGGCACGCAAGATGATTTTGAGTGGCACGTGCAATGAACAGGTTCCTCCTCACTCCCCACAGCCCACGGTGTGGAGCCCATGCTGGTAATCCAATATCGCGTCCTCCTGCAAGATTGGAACCAGCACCGGCTTCCTGCAGCGGGAGAGAGCGCCAAAGCCCCATGCTGGATTTGGTCTGTGGGGAAGCACGCTTGTGCTGCTCCTCCCCTCCCCACGGGATAAGCCAGATCAGAGCCCAGGGCAGGAGACCAAGCAGGGCGCACTGTGGAGAGAGCCCCTTCTCCCCTCCTAGGAGAGCGGCACAGCCCAGGGCAGGAGGGTTAAATCTTGCCACTCCATTTTGGAAAGATTGCCGACCCCTGGCCTAATCATATCGCCACCCTTCTCTGGAAGGCCTGCATACCTCTTGCTTTTGTTTCAGATACACAGCTTTTCCCCTCCTACTCATCTTTCTTCGGGGGATGCTTTAGGCTGATAAGAAAGAGTAGCATTCTGCTTATGCAGGCCCAGTGCACTGCAGTTGCTCCCTATGTGGCCTGCACTGCCAGACACCCAGTAAATTCCCTCTCTAATTCCCCTTTTCCTGCTACTGTTGGCATAATTGCATAAAACAGCGGTTAATCAGGCTTTGCATAGTCTTGGTATAAATGTCAAAATGTGCTATGACCTGATGCAAAGTGTGGCAACTTTTACTGTGTGCTTCACAAACCATAATATTCTCAGTGCCCCACAAAATCCTCCAGAACCCCTCACTCCGGGCCCAAGGGACCAGGCATTGTCAAGATGGCCCATAAGTGAGAACTGGTTTTCAGACAGTTACCAAGCCACACGGTTTCCCAGATAAGTAAGAATCTTTTTTAAACTCCCTGGATATTTCAGTGTTGCCAACTGGTCACACCACACATCCATATATCACATCCCTATATCACTACCTCCTCCTGGCTTCCTTGGAATGGCTAGCAAACGCAGGGATGTCCTTGCACTCATGGAAGCTCATGGACATCAGTATTGGCTAAGCCCAAGGGAAGAAGACATGGGGTTGGGTGAGAATCTTTATGATCCACCCACCCCATGAGTGCAAGGAATGGCCATAGTGTGGCCCTATACATGCTATGCTGTCCGGCAATTTAACACCAAGGGCAACATTGTGCTTTCCTGTGAGAAAAACCTCTGGGAAGATTGGGGAACTCCACAAGCTTCTTCAAAATCATGCTGCAGAGGAGGAAGGAGAGTTTTTGTCATGTCCACAGAGTGGGCAGGAGGCATAGACCTAACCTGCTGTGATCTCAGGAGGAGCTGCAGAGAAATCTTCTTTCAGAAAACCCACAAAAAATGTGCATGGAGACCCAGCACCACCCACTTCCTGCTTCATGCCTCTGTATTCTCTGTGGCAGCACATCTCCTTTGGACATGAGGCTCTTATTAGTTCTCTGCCTGGAGGTGGGCCCTGTGGGAGATTCTAATTGACTATCAGAACTACTTTACCTAGCAAATACCCTGACTGCCAGTCAGAGAGATTCACCACTGATCTGATCCAAACCCATGGAGCCCAAAAAGTGAGACATCAGCCCAGGCCCCTCTTGCAAACAGCATTCAGACCAAAGAGGGGGAAGTCAAGTTCTTTCATCTGTTTGAGGGCAAAAATAAAGTGATACTCTGGCCCCATTTACAGCGAAAGGCCCCTTTTTTTAGTAATTGTGCTAGCATCATAAGGAATGACTCCATCTATGCCTTAGTCTGTCCTTAGCGGTAGCACTCCCATCATGCATCCATGTTTTACAGTACCTGATGACATTTGTGACTAATGAGCCCTCCTAGGGCCATGTCCCTAATGCCTATCAAGTGCTATTTCACCTGGATTATGACAGCCACATATTGCGTTTAGTCCTCCCAAGGTCATTTCACTTCTAATGAATACTAATTTCTCCATGCTTAGCCACACTTGTCTCCTTTATTGCAGTACCAGACAGATGGTTGCAAACTATTTCTTTTATAATGAAACCTGGTAAAGGGGATTGCATAAAAGCCTAGAAAATAACATCTGCCAAGGCGAAATGGCCTCTGAACTAAGGATGGAACAAAGTGGAATATGGACATACTGTACTGCAGTGTTTCTCCAACTGTTGCTCCACGGACAACTGGTTACTAACCACCCTCTTATGTCACAGGGGTGAAACATCTGTCACTCTATAACCAGTGATCCTTCCAGTTAGTTGCAGCCCTGTCCAGCACCCTTAGAGTAAATGTCCAGCTAGTCTGACATTTAGCCTTCCTGCTTACAGACAGAATCTGTCTACAAATTGCACCATTTTTTCTCCCTTTTGTAAGTGAACTGTGTGGATGCAAATCTTAGTGGCTTCATACCCAATTACCAGATTTGCATCTGAAGCACATGCGGTAATTAGACATCCAGTTGGTAAGATTTTCACTCATAATTTCAAGTGCAATTTTTGAATACATTGCAAGTGTTTTGTTTGGAAAATAATTTCCTTTTATTTCCACTCCTAGTTCCTATTAGTGTTTCTACTGCTACCATTGACAGCTCTTAGCTGTCCTTTTATTGCTATGGTATGAATCCCTAAGCCAGACTTGGTCGTATTAACCATCACATTCATAAAAAGACTCCATTTGTCTATTTTATCCTCTCTCTCTAGGGCAGCAAATCTTGCACAAGAGAATTTTATTCTCTGTAAACCCATTTACTCTTACTTGCTCAAATGCCTGCAACCTGCTTTTTAAGTATCTGCTGTGCCACTATCAAGATTACCCCTGTTGCCAAGCTTTCTCTCCCCACCATCCATCCAAGCAAGAACAACTTCCTATGACTTCCTTTAGCTTCAATAACACTGGCCCATAAATCACACTGAGGGTTTTGCACATCCTCATCCATGCCCATTAGATAAGACTCCATCTACTCTTTAATTCTATAGAGTTTCTTTTCCTATATGACTGTGAGGGAAAACTTTTAACTCTAAACTTTAAAAAGGTATCCTAGTGTTCGGGAGGATTGTTTTTATCAAGTACATGTCTTGGTGGTTTCTCTCTTCCTTCTCCATAACTACCCTTTTCAGAATGCTTTTTTAGCCTTGGAGACAAAAATATTGTACCATATACAATCTCTACTGACTTACATTGCTCTGGCTTATGCTGTATTCTCCTTCTTCTTCCTGGACCAATTATTTTACTCTGCAAGCCTTCCCTCCCATCACTGAATCTATTCATCAATATATGTATAAGCTTTCCGTGGTATTATTCCTCCTCTCTTTTTTGTTGCCCAAGGTCTGAAGCAGATTAGGACTTACATCTGCTGTGGGTTGTATCAGCTACATTAGTGTAGCTATCCCAGGGACGGTGATGATGGTGTTATTATAATGTATTATTTACATGACAAAAAACTAGAGGTTTGTTAATGTCAAGATGACTTAATTGTCTAAGAAACAGAGCTGGTCAAAAGTACTGAGACAAAATGTTTTTTTGCCAAAAAATGCCAAATCGTTGAAATTTTTGAAGGAATTTCTCAACTAAAACATTTTTTAAAAATTAAAAATTGTTGAAATGTCCCATTTTGAAATAGTCAAAACAACCTGTTTTGACATTTTGTATATGAAAAATTCAGATTTTTCTAGTTCCAAGCCAGTTTTTTATTCAAAATTGAATGTAGATAGCGTAAAAGAAATTAAATAAAAAGTAAAACTAAATTGAAACTAAACATTTCAAAATTATGGAAACAAAAATTTGAATTAATCCAAATAAAAAATATAGGATTTGTTGGTCACAAACATTTCTAAAATTGTGACTATTTGTTCTGATTTAGGATAGGACAATTTTTCAAATTTTTAAAAAATGTTGCAGCACAAGAAACCAATTTCCTGCTTAAGTTAACAGAGAAGCAGCTGGATCAACCTCAGCTTCTTAAGTGACTATCCATCAAGATTTTATTGTAATTGCTTCTTCTTGGAACCAGTCTTTTCCCTCTACTTTGGGAAAATAGAAATGTCAGGGCTTCGCTCAGCTTGCCTTTTTATACACAAACACACACACACACACATATAAACACACACAGAAATTTCTAACTCTTTTTGTCACATGGGTAATTTAAAAAATGTAAATCAGTTGCCAGAGTGGAAAGTTTGTCACAATGATTTTTATTTAAAAAATGTGGAATATTCACAGCCTGTCAAATTCCTCCTTGGCTGCCAAAAAGCCATGTAAATATAACAGTTGCAACCATATTACCTAGCTGTTATCTTTGTTCTGACATTTTCTTAGGTGGTTGTAAGATCCCCATTCTGTTTGCTGTAAAAGTGGAATATTCTAAACCTCTCTGGTTTACAGTATGTAGTTTCAGTCATGTCTAATAAAGAGGTAGCTGTGACAAAGTTGGCACCTACTGTATACCAGAAATTCCTCTGCTTGTAGCAGTTGGGGAAACAATGCTTCAAAAAGTCCTTTAAGATTCTGCAAACAACTCAATTATTTATAACTGTGTTGTCCTTGGTTGTAAATTAAAGTAACGATCTTTCATGAAGAGTGTTAAAAAGCAGCAGGCAGGGTTTTTTTCAAATGAATGAAATCTGTATAAACACCTGTTTTGTTTTTAAACTTCCTAGGAAATCAATGTATTGACAGTAGCATTGGTCAATCAAGAGAGAGAAAAAAATTCTGAGAAAAGAAGTCAAGGTCTAAAATCAGAGAAAGAGGCACTGTTAATAGGTAAGATCACTCAGTACTCAATTCATCACTGCATATCACAACTGAAAAAAACATTATTCTAGAATAAGCAATCTTGAAACTAATGTTTATTGTCAATGTACATCCGCGTTTAACTTCATTGCATTAGAACTAAAGACTGTGCTCCTTACCGTTCCCGTGTACAGGACATCCCCGCTGTAACTCACCCTGATATACATCCATTCCGCACTATAGTCATTGACGCTTGTAGGATCTGATGTGTTGTAAGTCCTCCCATTCCCCGCTCTTAACTTGTGCAAAAATAACCCCAATTTGTGCAAATGGAAGTCAGCCATGGGAAAAAAAATCCCCGCTTTAAGTTGTTTCACTATGGCTGTGTCTAGACTGGCCAGTTTTTCTGGAAAATCAGCCACTTTTCCGGAAATACTTGCCAGCTGTCTACACTGGCCGCTTGAATTTCCGCAAGAACACTGGCTTCCTACTGTAAGAAATCAGTGCTTTTTGCGGCAATACTATGCTGCTCCCGTTCGGGCAAAAGTTTTGCGCAAAAGGGCCAGTGTAGACAGCTGAGATTTGTTTTGCGCAAAAAAGCCCCGATCGCGAAAATGGCGATCGGGGCTTTTTTCCGCAAAAGAGCGTCTAGATTGGCCACGGATGCTTTTCCACAAAAAGTACTTTTGCGGAAAAGCATCCATGCCAATCTAGACGCTCTTTTCTGAAAATGCTTTTAACGGAATACTTTTCCGTTAAAAACATTTCTGGAAAATCATGCCAGTCTAGATGTAGCCTATAAGTCCAAGGTTTTTGGAACGTATCTTGGACTTATAGCAAGGACGGGCTGTATTCACACTGGTTACAGTAATAATAGCCAAATGGAAGAAATAGAAACGTTTTGACCATAAGGGATATAGGTCCAGACCAGTCCTACAAGGCTCACTCACATGACTAAGCCTTACTCAAGAAGACCTACTGGTTTTTAACATAAGCATTACTTACAGAGTAAAAGTTGCAGCATCTGCCTCTGTGCATGTAATGTAACTATAGATAGATTCTGAATTTCAGGCTGGCTGACAGGAGACAAATTGGGCAGTTGCCCTTGGGCCTGGTCTTTTAAAGGGCAGTGGTGGTAGCCGAAATTCTGGGCCCTTTAAATCACTGTTGGAGCACTGCACTGTGCACTCTGTGCCATTCTGAAGGCTCGGAAGAGGCCCTGCTCCTTCCTGGAGCACGAAGCCACCCTCGCACACACCTTGCCCAGGAGCCTGCAGAGGCTGTCGGCCACCCCACTGAATTGAGCTGTTTGTTCTATTCAATGAGTCCCTCAATGTGAATGGTTATCCACCCATCACACAAAATGGGTGAAAAAAAAAGGAATGGAAACAATATTGAACAAAATGAGGATGGCCTTAACAATTTATTCTTTTTTTTTTTTTACATTACGTGTTACCTAGTCTTGTCAGTAAAGTATGGGAAATACCACAGACAGTTACTACTTTCACTGGCATATCTAATGAAAAACTTTTAAAGGAAATTACATTTAACGGGCATTGGTCCATTCCAAAAAATGAACTATGACTGGCATGACATGATATAGTGAGAATGGATTGTGATATACGTGGTTTTTAGTCTGGGTTCTTTTTCATTTTGGATCTGACATTCCATACATAATTTTGGTCCTAGCATTTGGCTTGCTTTTAATTGTAACTGTAAATAAATGGCTTTGATTTGTTTATGGATAAATTTAGGGAGATGATTTGGTACGCTGGGATGATTTTATGTAGAGCTTCTCACCACTAATTAGGGTGTGTCCAGACTGCAGGCTTTTTTTTTTCAAAAAACAGCAGTTTTTTAAAAAAAACCTTCACTTACATCCATACTTCTATTGCGTTCATTAGAAAGAAGATAGAAAAAGCACAGGGGGGTTTCCGACATTTGTAAACCTCATTCTACGAGGAAAAACGCCTTTTCCGAAAGAGCTCTTTTGGAAAAAAGTGTGTGTGGACGCAGAAGAGGGAGTTTTTTCGACAGAAGAGGAAAGAGGAAAAAGCACAGGTGCCCTGGTGGCCACTCCGTCCATAGTAATCACAGCTTACTTGTGAGATAGCATCCATTCAGTGTGGATGCTCTCTTTTGAAAAAGCAGATCACTTTTTTTATGTGCTTTTACTGTGTGAACACTCTCTTTCGAAAGAAGTTTTTTTGGAAGGTCTCTTCTGAAAAAGCTTCTTTCAAAAGAAGCCTGCAGTCTAGACATACTCTAAGTGACCATTTATTTGAATAATTATCTAAAATAGTTTATGACTTTATGACTGTGCCATAGTTCATGTGAAGTGAACATGAAGTCTCAGTTTTGGTCCTAATGGTCAGATGGCCACATCAGACAACCAACATCAGAACTGATGATCTCAAGATCAGGGATGAGGCACATTGGTGATTGGTGAGAAGAGACTCTGCCTGCATCTGTCCGTTCTCTAGAATTGTCAATATTTCACAAGCACTTAAAAAAAGAACTGAGTTACTTAGCTGTTTTCATGCATCTCTAGTTAATAACTACGCGCATATTTTCAAGTAGCATTTTATTTCATTTACATTAAAGATGGGTCATAGGTACAGAAATCAGATTTGGATTTTGAATAGCCCAAAATTGAGGTGTTTGGATCTGAAGATTTGGTTCAATATCTGATGAAGATGGTGCCATTAGCAAACTGGGGACTGAATACAGGTTTGGATTGTCAACAGCTGCCATCATAGTTTAGTGGTATTTAGTTGGGGCCCATCTCTACAATAGTCCTGCAAAGATTTGCTTATGTTTCCACACTGTGGATGGCTAGCTTAACTGATTTCCATGGGATGACTCAGTATATAAGTAAGGCTTCATCTATACTGCAGCCGTCTTCAACAAAAGCTTATGCAAATGAAGCACAGAGTAGAATATCACCTACACAGCTCCTTTTTGCGCAAAAGCCTCTTGCTCAAAAATGGCTGCTAATTAATTATGCAAATGAAGCATGGCAATATTTTACTCCACACTTCATTTGCATAAGCTTTTGCGGAAGAAGGCTGCACTTTAGACGTAGCCTAAGTCTTTGCAGGATAACGGCCAGAATTTGCAAATATATCTGGAAATCTAGAACCCTTTTCTACTTGTTGCCAATGTTTGAGAAAAGCTGAAACCTAAAGGTGATTCTGTGTCAATTAGTATCAAGACCAGCAGTGGTACCTGCAGTTTACAAGATACGGAGACCCATTTTTGTAATTTGTACATGTTCTGCTCTTACTCTGTTTATGTCTTAAAACTAAAGAACTATCCCTTAAAGTTAATTCATAAAGAAACTCACCAAAAGAGGTGAAACTATCTTGGACTCTTACTGTTCTACTCTCAGCAGATAATGACATACATACTGATGACCGTTACATATGCTCTTGTAGAGAAGGAGAAATGGATACTGCTTTTAATAGCAATGCTGATATCCAATATCCTGCTTTCTCCATTCATCACTATTATGCTGACACTTGATTTCCACTACAGGGAGAAAAACCTCTAGATTTAAAATCTGAGTCCTCCGAAGCCCTATATTCCCAGACTGTTTAACTTGATCTTGTAAATTTCAATGAGGAAACACAGAGCTTTCTCCCTTTTAAGGGGGGAAAAAAGTAAATATGCCAGGAAGGATTTGTGCTTCTCTTAGCAGTATTTAGGGGTAATATTGATTAAATACTTCTCATAACTAGTAACCATATAATTATTAGAAAAAATTCAAGGCAGTGCAGTTTCTGAAACAGTTTATATGAAACGTTTTCACAACGCAGCTTTCACTGAAAGGAAAAAGCAATAATTTTTCCATTCCAATATCTACTGTTTTATATTGGCAAATCAAGCATAAAATTGGTAGTTGAAATGCTTCCAACATGTGTTTGTTTAGAAACCCCTTTATTCATCTGTATACTATCTTGGTCACTTACTTGCTAACTGCTGTCATTCCTGAAGATGAGCGATTGTGTTTACCTTGTTACTATGGCTGTGGTAAAAATGTGCTGTTCTCTTGTTTATTGAACTGTGTAAGAAATATAAGAGTTGTAACTCAGACTGAAAAACTTTCAATGACTTATTCAGAATTACTCTGTTTAGACATACGGGCTGTGTCTACATTGGCACCCTTTTCCGGAAAAGGGATGCTAATGAGACCAGTCGGAATTGCAAATGCCGCGGGGGATTTAAATATTCCCCATGGCATTTGCATGAACATGGCTGCCACTTTTTTTCCGGCTCGGGGTTTTGCCGGAGAAAAGTGCCAGTCTAGACGGGATCTTGCGGAAAATAAACCCTTTTCCGGAAGATCCCTTATTCCTACTTTCAAGAAAAGGGTTTATTTTCCGCAAGATCCCGTCTAGACTGGCGCTTTTCTCCGGCAAAACCCCGAGCCGGAAAAAAGCGGCAGCCATGTTCATGCAAATGCCGCAGGGGATATTTAAATCCCCTGTGGCATTTGCAATTTCGACTGGTCTCATTAGCATCCCTTTTCCGGAAAAGGGTGCCAGTGTAGACACAGCCACGATGTATAGCCTCCAGTAATTTTAATACCATGTGTGTTTGTTTTAATACAGGTATCATATCCACATTTCTTCACGTCCATCCTTTCGGCGCCAACATAGAATACCTTTGGTCTTACATGCAGCAGTTGGACTCAAGGGTAAAAAAGTTAATCAAAATCTGGCTTCCCTTTAGAACTACTGTTTGGTTCTTTACTGCGTGTTAAACTCAGCATGAGTTTCCATTAGAGAGATAACGGCATGTGGGGTTTGGGGGGTTGGAGTATTCATTCATTCGGGATTATGCTCTGCACATGTCCATGAGATCTTTTACCTTTTGTTACATTGTTGTGCTGTGGTGGCAAGGAAATCTGGAGTAACACATGATCCTTATTTATGTTGTGTAATTTGTAGCAAATAAAATATGTAAGTTGAGCTCTGGCCCTCAAAAGGAGGGAGGATGGCCAGACAGAGACCATTTCTTGGATCTGCAATAACCTCCTACTTTCTGTCCTGGATTCTTTCCTCTTCAATCTATTGAACATTTGAACTGTAGCCAAGATAATGTTCCTTTCTCACTGTTCTGATTCTATCCTCCCTCCCTAGAACCCTTTCATTGCCTTCTAGTGTGAGTGGCTCTCCACATGCAATGGAGGGCACATTCTCCACAAGGAGTAACGGTAGTTCGAACTAGGAAGCCTAGTTCGAACTACCTAGTTCGTGCCGCGTGTAGCCGCGCGGCACGGGGTTCGAACCAGCAGGGATTTAAAAATGGCGGTGCCCCGCTTATGCAAATGAAGCCCGGGAAATTCAAATCCCGGGCTTCATTTGCAATTGCGGTATGCCTACATTACCCTCCTAGTTCGAACTAGCGGGGTAGTGTAGACATACCCTCAGTGCGGGGAGCTGCACTTAATGACCTCTTGAGGTCCCTTTCAGCCCTATATTTCTATGATTCTATACCATGGTGGGTATATGGCTCTATCTGTAGATGGCATAAAGTGTTATAAACCAAAAAGAATCGCTGGGATTTTTAGTTAACTTAGAAAATGCTGCTTCTTTCTGTATTCTCTAAATTTCCTGTTTCTTAAATGTAGGCCAATTGTTTCTCACTGTATTTTTCTCTTCCCTCTCTTTCATAGATCTCTGCAAATGAAATCGAAATGCTTTTGATGAGATTGCCACGCATGTTTAAACAAGAATTCACTGGCGTAGGAGCAACACTGGAAAAGAGGTGGAAGTTTTGTGCCTTTGAAGGAATTAAAACAACCTGACTGAACTGTAAAGAAGCTATGCAGAAGAAAAATTCCAGAAGCATGGCAGGGTTACAAAGTATTAAAGTATGAAATTTGGTTTTGGCACATAGAAATCCATTCTCCGAATTATCCAGGCTAATTTTAGTTACATTTGTGACGTTCTCTTGTGAGTGGAAATGTGGTTGTGCACCAGTTCCTAAAAATAAAAATATAAAAAAGTTTCAAAATGTGACAGATCTGTTTCCTATGAAAACTGAAGAAAGATGCCACAGTCATAATGCTGTCAAGATATTAACATGCTACATCTAAGAATAGCTCACTGAGCAAATGGATAAGGAAAAAGATTGCCTAGTTATGGTTGCTAAGCTACAGTAATGTATATGTAATATATAGCAGAAATCGTTAAGCTATGTTCCTGAAAGTCTTTCCGTTAAGTAATTTTACAGTGAGAAAAATTATACCAAAAGAAAACTTGAAGATGTGTCTGAACAGTTATTGTCTTTTGTAAATTAAGTTATATGCTGTTCCAGGGATTTTTGCCTTATTGAAAGAGGCCTGAAAATGTGATTGGACTTCTCGAGAATGCTTTATCAAGAATATTATTTTTCTAATGTAATTATTCTCCATTGTAAGTTCCTTTAACATGCATTGCATATCAATTTTCATAAACATGTAAATAAAGAGGAAACCAGTGTTACTGTATTGTATTTGGTATGTAACATTCAGGTTTATGCATCAAAATAAATGTTCAGTTGCATTACTGTTACAGATTTTATAGCAAATATAATAATTTTTTTTCAATAAATATGACTTCTACCATATTGTTTTCACAAGTTGTTCTTCTGATGTTTCTGAATTCTTACTAATCCAAAAGGTCTCGGTCAGTGTTTGCCCTCCTCCCACCAAAGCCAGTTATTGAAAACCTCCTGATGAAATGTATTGAGTGCCGTATCAAAGAAGAGACTATAATATTAGATTAAATTAAATGAGTTTAAAATTATGAGAGGAAATTCCAAGATGAAGATTGTGCATTCCCTGAACCGAATAGATTTCATTTTGTTTTAAGTATTTCTAGCCAAGCAGCAAGATATTTAAAAAATAAAAACAAAGACATAAATTTCACATTTTGTAATGTTTTGCCGGGCAGCTACAAAACAAACAGTGACTGTTTCTAACTCCTGGTTAATACTTTTGTGCTGTGAGCTGCATAAGGAGCTAAAGGATTCACATTTGATGGTATCCTTTAAATATGCAAAGAGAAAAGCAGGGATTTTTTTCTCATTACCATTTTGGGAATCTGCTTTATTATACGCACTATTTAGAAGCCAGCATGAGACCTTGCACGATGTGTGTGTGTATTGCACAATGTGTGTATATATAAAACTCAAGCAAGAAGAATACTGCCAAAATCACATTGTTAGAGAGTCACTTTGAAGATCCATTACTGTACAACATGCTTTCATACAGAGCTATTAGATGGTAGAAAAGTCTTCTCAAAACCATGACCCTTAATGGGCAGGAGAGGCTGTGATCAGAGTGGTTAAAATCAGTCTCAAAAAAACTAGCTAGCTCTCTGACCCTTGTAATCTACAACAATAAATGTGACAAAGTACAGCAGACTCAGGAAGTATCCAGTTGTTTTATTGATTCCACTAAATAATAGAGTAAAATATAGTTAGCTAAGAGGAAGCTACCATATGCGGCTGTTAGCAACTACCACTCTGGATGATCAGCATCTGCTGTAGGATTATAATACATAAATACCAAATTAAATATTATGTGTATGAAAAAGAAAAACAATCAGCAGATATGTTGGCAGAGAAAATTATACTCTGAGCTGAAACATGCAAATGTGTTTTAGGGAACATACACATCTACAGTTGCTAAAGTAACAGAATTAAGGCGAGTGATTCAGGTGAGTCTAATACATGTAAGCTAGTAATGGTCACGAATCTTAAATATTCTAAGCCAAATGTCAACTCTTTCTACATTTGCATGAGAAGCTATATGCATAATACATATGAAAGTTTGTTATAGCTGCCAATTCATATATAATAAAACATACAATGGTGCGCCACAATGAAATTTACTTGCAATTTGGGGCAACAGAAATAAACTGCAAACATTCTACAGTAGAAAATTACGTTATATTCTGCAAAATGTTTACATTGTTAGCCATGTATGTGAAGTTACTGCTGCACTTCACACATGCTCCAGAACAGTGTCCCCTAGAAGCTGAGCACTTAGGCAGCCACTTTGGTGCCTCCCAGCTGATTAGCAGCACGCCCGCAGCTGGCAGCATGTGTTTCTAGTGGTGGTGGCCACGCCCGCAGCTGGCAGCATGTGTTTCTATTAGTGGTGGACAGCCACAAAAGCCTCAGTGCCCAGAACAAAATTTAGTCTGCACATGGATGGGAAAAAATTAGAGGGAACATTGCTCCAGAGTGAAATTCAATCCTGCAGAGAGGGTCAGCAGATAGACTGCACTCTCCTGGTGATCCTAAGTGTAAGTATGCTTTATGCCAGACTTGTGTGCACATGTGAATTTTATCCTGGGTACTTGAGGCAAAGTAAAACATGTGCACCTTAAAATGACGTGCATGTTGCACTAATAAAAGTATTCGTTGTTTACTGAAAACTATATTATCCCTCATTACAAGTTTTTTCCTAATCTACATGCACACCCTTTTGCACATAGTAAAACCCCACTGTTTAATGAAATGTGCACCTTAGGCTAAAACTTGGATGTTCTCCACCAGGCCTGGCCTTTGGGGAAGGCAAGTGAGGCGGTTGTCTTGGGCCCTGTGCATTCAGGGTCCCACGCTACCCAGCTCCTGGCCCTGCCCACCTGGCTGCTCACTCGCTGCCTTGGGCCCTGTGAACTCTTTGGACAGGTCTGTTCTCCACTCTGACGCCATCATATTTGCTTAGGAATAGACAGGCTCAGATTTAGTGAACATCCCAACGCCTCATTATACTTGGTTTTCATGAGCAGTAAATATTATGCACTCTAAAGCTGAAACACTTACATAAAAGCACATGAGATTGTTAAGCGTCAGAGGTGCCTAACTGCAGGCTGAAGTACTCCTTCCAGTGTGGATTCTCAGCCATGAAGTTGCTCTCTAGACTTTGGAACCTAAACCAGGTCAGTCCTTATGCAGTAAAAATATGGAGGAAAGAGGAAAGTGATTGTGATGGTTCCTGGGATACCCAGAACTGTGAATCACCCTGTTGTCCCCCTCCCCCACAACCATGAGGGAGCATGGCAGACCTGCTGACAAGGTGGGGGGGGGGCTTACCACGGGGTGTGGCAATTCGCTGTCAAAGTGCCATGCACTCCAACAGCAATTCTAAAGGGTTCAAGACTGGTTCTGAAGGGAGGAGGGGTGCTGGGCCATCTAGGTGGTGCTGGGGGTTGGCTATAAAAGAATAAATTTCCTGGCACCACTTCAAACCTCTTAATTTCACTGCACCTTCAACACGGCTGCATTTGGCTTGTCCATGGAGACCAAGCCCTGAGACTGACCAGAAACAAAGCATGAAACTGACTAATCCCCTCTCACCTTCCAGGAGGGGATAAATGCAAAGAGCAAATAAATGATAGCAGCAGGAAACTGAGCTTTTAAACATCACCCGTTTCGCAAACTACCTGGTGTGTTAGTAAGGCAGCAAACTCATTATCAATGTTTGGGGACACATTTAGCAGCAGGCTCTGCCAGCACAAAGCAGCTGCAGACCCAGTTTGGCCGGCTGGTTGAACTGGGTTTTTGAAGCATCTTTCAGCTAAAAAGGAACCAGCAAATCAAGAAAGCGACCTAGAGCAAAGATTGCTTCTCCAGCCATAGCCTGTGACACAACCCAGCTCCTTCCCAGCTTAAACTACCCAACGTCCTGCCAGGGTCAGATCAGGCTGCATTGCTGGTCCCCTCTCCTCATTGTGCCAAACAATAGCCCAGGCTGTTCTTTCACAGTAATTTCCCTCTGCCCCCGTCATCAGCAAATAGCTGCTCCTGTCTTCACTTTCCCCTCTCATAGGCCTCGCCTGGGCCCAGGCAGACTGACATGCTCCAGCTGATTGCCATCTGTCCATGAACCTTTGACTAGTAATCTGGGGTCATACTGCTGTGGGCTTCTTGCCCCTGCCTCCTCCAGAACTATTTCAGTGCCCCAGGGCCAATCACGAGCTGCTGTGCACAGCTGGAGTAGTGCAAAGCAACTAGTGCAAACAGCTGAATCTTGTCCATCACTTCAATCTTAAGAGAGAAACCCATTAATCTCCTGTGACACTACGGCAGCCAAATTGCCTCCATCTCTACACTCCTGCCAACACAGGCTGCTGCATCCCTGTCTGTCTTTGCCTTACTCCTCTGCATCCAACTGTAACTGCTTCCACCTCCCAAGAATGGCAGGTCAGCCACCAGGGTGGCTTTGAAGACAAGAAACAAGGCAGCTGTCTGATAACGCAGGCTGGGGCTCTCAGGGAGAGCTGGAGGTTCAGCCACTGGAGAAATTAAAACTCCACTTCCAAAGAAATGAGACTCCCCGTCAATCATTGAATCATCGGTGTAAAAGTCTCCTTCTGAAATGTCAACTGCAGGAAAATATGAAAGCATTACTGCTGCTGTGTGGGGGTGACAAACTCTGAGGAGAGCAGTAAATAAGGCAGAGGCCAGGGCACTGATGTAGAGTGATCTGGAAGCTGGACCCATGCAAACAACATAGTTTTTTCACAAAGCTAAATACAAGGGTCTACCCTCACCCCAAAGCAAGCAGGCCACACCCCTGGAATGGGGAACTGTACCCAGGCAAAGAGTGACTCTAGGAAGGATTTGGGGGGGGTCATGCTGGACAAGCCATTCATCAGGAGTTCCCAGGGCGATGCCGTGGTGTATGCTGCAAAAGCCATCATTAGGCATATGAGCAGTGGAGTGAGCAGGCCCAGGAGGTGACACAGCATCAGTGAGAATGAGATTGGATATTGCAGCCTGTTTTTAAAAGTAGGGATGTTAAAATGCACTTATTTTGGTAAATGTGGAACTGCTGGAAAATGTACACGTGGAGGGGGAGGGACAGGTGGCTCCGCAAGAGCCAGTGCATGTGGGGAAACAATGACTCATCCCCCTAATGCTGCCTCTGTATCAGAGGCAGCAGCAGGGGGGGAGCTGTGTGTAACTATGACGGTAAATCAATGAGCCCAGTTAACCATTTTACACATTCACACTATCACATCCCTATTAAAAAGATGTTGACAATTGGAGATGGGGCAGCAAAGAGCCCAGTGTTTTGAGGGCTGAAGAAAAGTATCTTCTTGTGAGCTATTGAAAGGAGCCCGATCTGTTTAGCTTCTACAAAAGATGGCTGAGAGGTGATGTCATTGAAGTATCTGAGTACCTTTCTGGAGGGAAGATGTCAGGGTATGAGAGACACAGATCCAAATGGGCTATGGGACTGTTTTAAGTGTAGTACAGACATTCACTCCTGGGCTTTGGGACCCCTCTAGGGACAGAGGGCTTGGACTGTATCTTGAACCCAAACATCTACACTGCAAATAAACAATCACTACGCTCAATCCCTATAAGTTTGTATCAGCAAGCATAGGTATTGTAAACATACTGGCTACGTCTACACTGGCATGATTTTCCGGAAATGCTTTTTACTGAAAAGTTTTCCGTTAAAAGCATTTTTGGAAAAGTGCGTCTAGGGGTGTGTCTAGACTACATGCCTCCTTCGACGGAGGCATGTAGATTAGCCAGATCGGAAGGGGGAAATGAAGCCGCGATTAAAATAATCGCGGCTTCATTTAAATTTAAA